CTTCCACAGCTAGACTGAAGAACAAAATGACAGCAACTTGTCTGTTCCCCTTCCCCCAATTCCCCAGCGCTGTTCCCATCCCCCCCAATTCCCCAATAAAAATCTATTTTTTTAGAAAAAAAGTAAGCTCAGATCTTGCCTCCTTTAGTTTTCTTTGTAAGCTGATTTCAATATTTCTGTTATAACTAAATGTTTCTCCATCTATTTTCCTAGACTATGAACTCTAAGGGCAGATAGTTCATCTGGGTCATTTTTGTTCTCTAGTGTAATACACAACACTGGGCAATAGATTTGATGAAGTTTTCAATTACACTTTACTATTTCCAGAGATTATCAAAGCCCATAGGACTAAACTCTTAAAAAAAAAAAAAAAGAAAAAAAAGATAGCTCTACACAAAGTATGTTAGGTAGGGTGCTTAAGTCCTTCAGAGAAATTTGCAACTTCTAATTTTGTGACTAAGGTCACAGCCAACAGGAATGTGAAGTTCATCTCCCTCTTGGTATATGACATTAACCTGGGCAAAAGTGTGCAGTTTTTCCTTTTGTTGTTCAGTACTTGGGAGTCACACAGTCAAATGCCTTTAGGGGTCAGCTTAGTTAATAGGCTCAGGGCCAATGGCTGAGTGGTAACTGTGGCAAATACAAGAGGCTCCATCTCAAGGATACCGACTGTGGTGCACAAACATGTGTGCCAAGAGCTCGGAGGGCACCGAGCATGGCTGGGCTCAGCATGGGCACCAAACATGATTTGGCCTCAGCTGCTGTCCTAACAGGCTCCCAGTGGGTTGCTCCCGAGTCATGACTGCATTTACAAATTGCTCAGTGACGGTGTGAATTCAATTTACTTGTCCTCTTGGTGTCATTCCAATGTTCCCTCAGTGCAGTTTTTTAAGACAGAAAAATGACCTACAAATCAATAGCTTTTACTCTCTTTTTCCTCCCCCCATGACTGAAAGTCATGTTTTGCTGAAGGTCAAGGGATATTTTAAGTGACTAGTTAGTCTTGCAAGAGTGATCATTTCTTTGCGCGTCCTGGAGTAGAAATCTTAAATACATGAATGTAATTTGATTTTGAAGAAAGACTGCTGTAATAAAAACACAAAGAAAATTATTTAGGTGAACATTTATCATGTACAAGCAGTTTTTAATTTACAACAGTAGTTTTTAGGCCTTGCCATGGAGACATAGGATTTATCTTTTATTTTTAAGCATAAAGTTTTAATGACTTGGGTCCACCCACTTTAAAATAATGAAAGCTCTGTAGTTTGAGGAAGTTCTTTAAAATGTCCACTCTTCCCCCAAATTCTATCCCCCATACAGATAAAAGTTTCCTTTCAGTGCTACCTCCCACTCCATTTTCTTCCTCTCCCATTCCCGTTTCCCGTCCTTAATATATCCTGCCCCATCCCCGTTACTACCCAGGAATTTAAACAACTCATAAGCAGACTTTGAGGTCTTTTGTAGCTTTCTTTTGGACCTGTATCTTATTCTCCTTAACATCACATTCAAAACTCTACTCTCGACATTGACACAACGCCAGTGTGATCCTTCCCCCCGACCTTGAAAGTCTCTTCGAGGCTTCCTCACGGTCAGGTCTCAGCTCACATGTCCCCTCCTGAGCTGCAGTAGCCTCCTGCCTGTCTAGGCACTCTGCAGAGGGAGAGTCCTGGGCTTCAGGGTATCACACTACATTTGTGCCTAATACAGTCGCCTCAGCTAATCCAGGTTATTCTATATAGCAATTTGTTTGTTCTAACCTTTATATCCTCTGCTTATCTAACTGGTCTTAAATTTTTCTTGTGAATGATCATTTTCTGAAATAGTTCAACTTGGTATATGAAAACTCTGTAAAGGTAATGTTACATAAAAGCTCACTGCTTACTGAAATGAAGGAAGAATTAAACGTGTGAAATTAATTGCTAAAATATTACTTTATTGTAAAAAAAAAAAATCCTGAGTAATAATAGGTCATTTGGAATCTCATGCAGACACACATTTTAATTTCTTTGAACCAGATAAGAAAAATCACAATATGCTGTACTTTAGTGTAAAAATCAATTTATTATACAACAATCATACAGAATGCTTTTTATCTATCTACAAAGAAAAATGGCTTCTCCTGCCTCCCTGGCCACCCCAATCATGATACTATGTTCTTAAGGTATAAGTACTTTCAACGGTAAACCAAAAAAGTGATATCCTTATTTTCTGAATAAGGAAGCCCCCCAGAAACATCATAAAATGATATGGAAATATTAGAAAGAACCAGAATGGTCTCTACACACAAAGTGCTGTTCTGCCCATTGCAGTATATCATTTTGCTTTAAAATAAGTACCTTTCTCATGGTGGTGGGAGAAATTCACCCTCAATATGCCTAAATAGTTCAATATGTAATTTTGAAGGGTTGAAAATTACTCTATGTTTAATTCCATTAAGTAAACGTTCTATTTTGTTAGTTTAAAAACTGGGGGAATTATTAACAGATATGCTTACTGCTTACAGTACTCATTTAAATGTTTTCACTGTTATGAGTAAGAAGAAATTTGGGAAAAAACATTTTCCATTTTTTTCTTTATAAATTTTTTACAGTTTTGTTTTAGGAACATCACATAAGTAGACAGTTTGTTTTTCAAAGCTGTAACACTTAATGACAGGCTAAAATATTTACCTGATTCAATTTTTGTGGCTAAGATATCTTAGCTCCATGTATTTTTACCAGCCCTTGAATGGTTTAAGGCCATAAATGTTTTATTAAAGCTTCTCTAGAATTAAAGACCAATTGGAAATCATCCTGAAACCTTTAAATTGAGCTTGAAAGTGTAAACTACCCCAGTTTTCCCCTTTGATCTGAGAGGTGTCAAGCTGCCCTATGTGTAGCACTCCTTGGCCTGTCCTTCTGCTGGACAATAGCTTCCCGCCATGCTCTGCAGATACAAAGCTCATGGAAGCGCCCAGAATTGCAGGTATGGTGCCGAGTGGTGAGACTTTAGGGCCTATTGACAATTAAGAATAAGATGAATACCATGAATGACAGTGATGTGTCCTCTCTGAGTCTCATTTTTACCTGGATTTTAGCCCATGTTTGGGACCTAAAACCGAACTAGAGTCCAGTTGCTCCAAGGGCTTTCTCCTCAGTCCAAGTTCTATTTGTCACCGAGGAGCAGTAACAGTCATGCCCAAAGTTAGCCCTTGTTTTACAACCCTTGTTTTACAACGAGTTTCTAGGAGAGAACAATACTTATAATAATACAGTTATAATGTGACGGACGTGGGGGTTAAGCACCCTAGCGCAAGTCAGTTTTAGAAAACTGTTTAGAAAAATAAATCCAAGAATAAGTGGGCATCAGACAGATGTCTGTTCAACAGAACTAGATCAACAAATAGAGAAGGGATGTTACAGGGTACAACCTTTCACCATGAAGACAGTGTGAGATCTAGTCATCTTTCAAAAAGTGGGCCAGAATCCTGAGTGGGTAGTTTACATGAAAGAGAATTAGAAAAGTCAGTACATTGTCAGTTTGCAATGTCAGTAGAAAATTCAGTGTTTTGTTTTTTTTAAAGAGAAAAAATAAATTAAAAACTAGAGGTTAGGAGGCAAGAAAAGCAAAAAAAAGACAGAAAGGCACTCCCAGACAGACTGGAATGTGTTGGGGCAATGGTGACAGTGCCTTCCTGGCACTTAAGCATTTGATGTCAACATTATGACCTAAAAACTTATTTTAAAAAGAAGGTCTAGGGTATAAGTGCTTTTTATAGGGTATAAACCATCATCAAATCTTCAGAACACATTCTGTCTCCATTCTTGGTACAGTGTAATAGTAAGTAACAATCCCACCTTAGGGAGGAAGCAAATATTCATTAATGCCTTCCTCGGCTTTTGTGCTTGATTCTCAGTACAGGCTGTTACCAGGGCAGGGAAAGGATGAGCTGAGTTTGCCAAATCGGCACTTTTCAGTGCGGCTCATGACTAGCTCACGGCTTAGTGTTGAAATCTCTCCACAGTCTTCCAATTTTTATTTCCTACTTTCAAAAACTTCACCTGCAAAGAGTGACAGCAGGGATTTGGGAACAAAATTCACAAACAGGCTCACAAGAACTCATTGACAAGTTCAATGTCTATCTGCCCTGATTGCTGTTAATTCTGATTTGTAAGTATCCCAGTGGCATATCATTCTAAGGAAGAGGGCAGAAGGGGCTTGGGTCCTTGTTCAGAAAGAGATGAGCAGCCAGGTTGAGATTCTGCTTTTAATACTGAGTATTGTTCTGTCTATATCTTAACCTGGGCAACTTAACACGAGAGGTAGACGTGAATAATTAAAGAAACCAAATTAAAACTGAGGAACAACTCCTGTTCAAGGCCCCTGAGCTATGAGGGTTTGGCAGAAGATTTTTTTTTTCTTCGAAAAACTAATCCTCAAAATAAAAATATACAAATTTCATTACCATATCACTAAGTTGAGAATCAGGGGTGGCTGTGGGAATTTGACAGACTCTAAGAGAAAAGTTTTGCTACATTTTCCATTTATAATCCCATTCTAATAAATTTTATGGGGTTGATTCCTAAAGGAACACAGGGCCTAATTACTTTATGCACTGACAATTATTGCTTAATATAGATTGGAACATACCCTGTATTTAGAAGGTAATTAACATTTTAAAAAACATTTTAATGTGAACAAAACTCTTAACTTTTAATTTGAAGACTTGCTGTGAGAAACAATGCTTCGAGTTTCCTGGCTTTGATGTATATAAGGCATTATAAAGACGGTTTCTGGTGCGGGGTGAAGTCGGGGGGGGGGGGGGGGGGGGGGACGGGGGACGGAGGGAGAGGTTGCACCAGTTCTGAGGTCTACAGAGTTCAGCTTCACCTCAGTGCTGACAGAAGCATTCAGTTAACAGATTAACCTAATAGCAAGATATTAATACATTCTGGGTACAAATGATTTATAAACTCAAAAGAAATTAGTTTATGCTAAAACATATATAACTTGCAATTCAGTCCTTGCTTTAAAACAAGCGAATCTGTTAGGCTATTATATATGCTTTGTCTGGTTACTCGATGTTTACTGTGCTTTCTTGCTTATTGTTACTCCATTAGTTGCAGTGAAGTAGGCTTTGGAAAAACCATTCTTAACTTCTTTCCCTGCTGGTGACTCTTCCATCTCTTTCTTCATTGGCTTTTTTCGATATGTCTGTTGGATGTGTATATTTTGATGAGAAAAAGAAAGAAAAAGGATTCTTTAATAAGACCTTGTCTCTAACGTGGCATATAGTCTAAAACAATGCATGACTTTTTTTGGTACTGGACTTTCTAATAAGAATTCTTGTTTTTAATATGACAACTTTCAAGCTTCTGGTTAAAAAAATAAATAGGGTAAAAACAGGACATATGAATGAATTCCAATGAAAGATTGTTTCTTTCACCTTATCTACAATAAGATAGTATTTATATATTATATATTATGGAATTAGCATTCAATTTACTCTGTATTAGTTGCTTACTTGAAAAGAATTTTTTTTGAGTTTTTTTTCAATTGAGGTATAACTGACATACATTATATTAGTTTCACACATACAACATACTGATTGGATATTTGTATATGTTGTGAAATGATCACCACAATAAGTCTAGTTAACAGCCATCACCACATATATTGGACATTTTTTTTTGTGATGAGAACTTTTAAGTTCTACTCTCTCAGCATCTTTCAAATGTGCAATACAGTATTGATAACTATAGTCACCATGATGTACATTACATCTCCATGCCTTATTTAAGAACAATTTTTAAGAAACACAATTCCAGTGAAAAAGTGCTGTTATTTAAAAAGTACTAGTACCTGGGATTTGGGCTTGATTTGAGTTTTGGCATATCTTTGCTATTCTGACAAAATGCCTGATCTCATCTCATTTTGACCTTTTTTTTTTTTCCTTTTAAGCAATGGTATTAAGGCTTAAGACTAACAGAATATACTCAACTTGGAAGGACTAGATTCAGTTGACCCACATGCAGGGTTAAAGCTGTGCATGCCACTTGCCTACCCCGGCTGGGCCATCTGTTTCTCTTCAAGAGCCAACAGCAAATGACTCCCTTAGCTTTCCTTTAACATTCAGCTTTTTTTCCTTTTTGTGGCTTTGTTCGGTTCTATCAATGGTTATTTCTTTAGAAATTCTCAAAGGAAATGCTTATCTCTTCTAAAAGACAAAGCCTAGCCAGTCCAATTTCAGAAACACAAGAGCTGAAAAGCTGTCAAAAGTTCAGTTCCCACAGCTGTACTCTATAAAACCACTACGGGTTGACTTTCAGCAAATGCAAACTAAGAAATCAGAAGGCACTTGTTTGTCTGAAGAAGAAAATGCAGTTGAATACAATTTCAAAAGTACTGTTTTGAATAGAAATGTATGTTCTCATTTTTTTCATGAAGCTTTCTGTTTCTCTAGACAACAAAGGAGAGCAATTTCAAACCTACATCTATTTGAGGCCTGTGCTGTTACAGCTTACATCAGTTCTGGGATAACAGTTGCTCTGAAATTGCATTTTGAAGTTCTCTCCCATTTAAATTGTTAAATAAAAAGACGCTTAAGAAAAAAATCAGTGTGACCTTTCTACACTGCTTTGCCTTAAAATAATTTTTTCCCACATCGACAGTGAGTTTACAACAGCGGTTCTCAACCTTCCTAATGCCGCGACCCCTTAATACAGTTCCTCATGTTGTGGTGACCCCCAACCATAAAATTATTTCGTTGCTACTCTATAACTGTAATTTTGCTACTGTTATGAATCGTAATGTAAATATCTTTTTGTTTTCCGATGGTCTTAGGCGACCCGTGAAAGGGTTGTTCGACCCCCAAAGGGGTCGCGACCCACAGGTTGAGAATCGCTGGTCTACAACATCACAGTAGCTGATATGGAAACAATTTTTTAATCTTAAATTCATTTAGCCCACGTTCTTCTCCATTCATATAAATTTCCTGGATCTGTCTTATTATACACAATGTTTAACTTTCGGAATTCATGGAATAGCATGGTGCAAGTATATGATACCAATGCATAATATTTCTGATAAAACTTCATTTGCAGGCATTGAGAAATGTTTAACAGAATGGCCATTAGACTATTCCAATGGTTATCCTTTGAGGAGGACCTCCTTTGTGGGGAGAGGTATTAGGAGTACAAGTCTCACTTTTTACTTTATGCACCACTATCACTAGAATTTACCAACAAGTCTGTGCTACATAATATGTAATCAGCAAAATTAAATACATATATAATGTAAAAGTGCAGTCTACTGGCTTTACTGCTGACTACTGACATTGAACTTACCTGGAAATAAAAATTTAAGAAGAGGATGACGAGTGTAAGCATGTAAGAAGACTGGAAGATGAGGCAGCCGAAGGGGAAGCCACAGGGTTTCACGACAGCGCTCATGGTGTGTGTGATGGTGAGCACAAACTGCACCTGGAGGGGCGGCGGGAAGGGCGTCATCGGGAGGGACGCAGCTGGGCATACAAAAGCCACTGCCAACTTTTATGCTTTAGAAACCAGCTACTCTTACTCCGGAAATTTTGCAAGAATAAAACAAATAAGAAAATGCTAAAGCAACGCACTCTCTCATCCAGAAATTTTATTTAAAATTCTATGAGTAAGTAGTTATAATTGTTCGTTAATTTTCTCACGGAAAAGTCGTTGAAATGACTTAGATAAAAATGATTTAACATCAACATTAATTTTAAAAGTATTCATCTACATTTCAAAGCAAGGAATAAGCTAAGGACATTTTAACACACAAGGTTTCACTCTTAAAAGGCCATTTTTAGGGGAAAAAAATAGGCAGCCTCATTGCACATGGAAAAACCTCTGACTTCTAAGAGGACTGAGACTGCTGTTTCCTTTCCCCAACCCATGAGAACATTTAGAAGCTTCCCAGGGAGAAGAGCTGAAAGGAGGGAGAACATACCAGTTGAGCCTGCGTGAGGTATTTCTTCCACCAAAGATACTTGTGCATAGATGGAAACACAGAAAGTCCATAGTAGGAGTACATAAGAATGTGGATAAAACTGTTCAGAGTGGGTCCAAAGAAACCTGCGAAAGTACCAGGTAAAAGTTAATGCTCTTCTAGAAACTAAGACTGTTCATTCTTTGTCCAGTGAGATCCTTCTTGTGTGTCATGAGGACAAATAACAAATATGGCACTAACAATCACATGGATACACTCACCCTGGCTATTGGGCCATTGTTCCAGGATTCAGCAAATGTTGCCTAAACAGAAGGACTAAACTGGGACAGTGTTTCAGTCAGAGTGCCAACCACATAGGTAACTCCTGATGTGCAAAGCTTTTTACTGTCCCTTTAACTCATTACTATCAGCTAATTGGGGAGAAAAGGAAATGTTAGCTTAAAGCTGATGGCAGAATTTCTTTGAGAGAGGTGTCTTTGCTTTAGATAAACCTTTGGTGAGCAATTTTGATTATAGAAAGAGAGCCTTCAGTGCCTGGCTGAGAAGCGTGCTCAAGAGTCAAGGAAAACATGCTGCCCTTCATAATCATGTAAATACAATCTACCTACAAGAAACCTAGGAGCCAGGATGCTGGGGACGGTGAGAGAACATGGGGAAGCGGGGGTAGGTTGCTGGGGAGCGGGGGAGAGAAGGGCCAGCAGGATGAGAACGGGCTGGGACTGGGACTGAGGAGACTGGCCAGAGAGACCTTCCCAGGAGCTGGGCCGTCTCACAGACTTTAGGACAAAGAATATCTAAAATCCAGTTTTAGGGTACTTGCTGTGCTGCGCTGTGCCAGGGCATTCCTCCCACCCGTCTTCATGAAATCTCCCTATAACTGCCATCAGCGTGGGTGAGTGGTGTTTCAGGACACCAGGGAAAACGGACTAAGTTCTATGTTGGGTCAACTAAGGGTCGGAAAGTTAGAGCTGCAAGAGGTAAGATTATTTGTTGAAAACAGGGAACCCCCTGTTGAGGATTAAGTCAATAAACTATGGAAAGTGCCCATCAGCATTCACTTGGTGTTGGGTACTTGTTGTGTTAGCTTGGGATCCAGATGGCTGGCCTCTGAGCTATGAGCCCTGTGATGGAAGAGACTGCAGCTAGAGGAGCCCTATTAGCTATATTCTCCTGGATATGTTACTTTCACTTCGTAAATTTTGATTTTCTCACCTGGAAAATGGGTATAATAATAATTACCTCTTAAGGCTGTGGTAGGATTGAGATAATATAATACAATATAAACTAAACTAAACATGTGCTGGTTAATTAATGAATTTGAATTCTCTAGCCTGGTTTCCCAATCCTGGATTAGAGATCTGGATAGATAACTGCTAATCAATGAATAAGGAACAAAAGGAATAACACCATGCATCTAGTAAGTCCTTAACAAACACTGGCTGAAGTAACTGGTTCAGGCACTTGAATTTATATAAAAACACAAATACAGTTTCAGAGTACCAGGGAGCACAACATTAGTGATTTTTTTTTTCTAGCCACATGAGTTTTCATTTCCATCAATTAATGAAAAATGAGTGGTAGCTGCTTATAATTTTTATAATCTATGCTGAATAAAAATTCACACATAGTATTTTATACATTGAAAATCTCTTTACACAGTGATTGAGATTGACTTTTAGATCCTTAGTAATTTGTAATGAAACTGTTGACAATCACAAAAAGTACTTAACCTTTATAACCGTCTTTTGGTGTTGATTATTTTCTATATGGAAGTCTATTATAGTCTTAATAACTAAATTCAAGAAACTAGATTCCATCAGGCTAGGAGAGATGTAAAAAGCATCTCTTTCTGTCCACTGCACTTTCAGAAATTTCCTTCACACTGTAGTTTAAATTTGCATTTCATCATCACTGATAATTCCAAATATCCTTGGTGTTTTAAAAAATGTCATCTCTACAAGATTCTAAATCCTGGGACAAAATCATTTTGACTTAAGTATTTTCGCATGTTCTGATTTTTCAAAAGTACTTTTAAATTCTCGGGTACAAGACAGTATCGGATAGAAAGTACAGTTCTCTCCAGCTCAGTGTTTCATACTGCAGGTCATAATGGACCCATTAGTAAATCAGTGCAGTGAGAGTTGTCATCAGCTTCCTGAAAAAGTGAAACAGAATGAAAAAAAAAAAAAAGCAGTGCCTCATACAGAGCCAGGCTTAAATACTGTCTTGTGAAATTTTTGTTTCATACAAAATATATACATATGAACAAGTGCATTGGGTTGTGATGTTTAAAAATGTATTTCTTATTGTAGTTCTTAGTAAAAAAAAAAGAAAAAGCCACTACTCTGGTGGCTTTAATTTTTCAGAATGGAAAAACAAGCCCTAAAAGTTGAAATGACTCCGTTTGTATCACAGCCAAGTGGTGACTTCTGGAAGGTGCTGTATTTATTCCTTCAGCCCCAGGCACTGGAGTAGAACTGCTCTAGCTGGGGTACTGCTTCTGGCCATTGGACACATGGCGCATGGACAAGAAAATATTGTTAAATTTTAAAGTAATACTCTGATTCTGCAGTACCAGAGACCATAAACTGCATGGCCCCTGGCCAACCCGTGCTTCCCGGTGTGACAGAACAGGCATGCGTGGCCTCCCTTCTCTCTCTGGTCTGCATGCAACGCTCAACACAGGAGACTCACTAATGGTCTTGCAAGATCCCTTACACAGAACTGAAAAATTAACAAAATAACTTACTTTGGCCACAAGGTATCCAGTTCAAAACACACCACCAGATGTTAAACATAGAGGCATGATGGTATACATGGAGAAAAGTAATCTGACCAGTTTTTTTCCGCAAAACAAAGAAAATCGTATCCAGGAACTCTATTAATTTGGAGAAGTAGTACCACCACAACACCTTGGCTACCTATAAGAATTTTAAAACGGGAAAAAGAAAAGGTGAGCACTGAAAATGCCCTCGTACTGCCCTCCCTCTCAGCATCCTGAGTGTCCTGTGCTTTACCGGCAGGCATGTCTCAGATTACCAACAAAACTCCAGGTTTTCCTTATTCCCAGCAACCCACTGTATTCTAGTGTTATCTTTCCAAAATACCTATCTGATCAGGTTGGTCCTCTGCACCTCCAGGACCGAGTCCGCGGTTCTGTGGTTTGTACAGGATCTTTCCGGGCTGGCGCGAGCTGGTGTTCCCAACCTCCTCCAAGCACAGCACCCAGATCCTCTGGGCTTCTCAAGCGGTCTGCTCGCTCTCCCCGAGCCCTGCTGCCGCTGTGCCGCTGCCTCTGCCTCTGCCCACTCCTCCCCACCTCCAGCACTACTTTCCTTACCTCACGTCTGGCATATGCCTAGTCATCCCTTATTAACACTCCCCTTAAAGACCACCTTTTCTCTGGAACTCTACCTAACCCTCTCCTTTCTTTCCTCCTTTCTAAATCAACCATGTCTTCATTTATATTCCCAAATTACTTTATGCATCTATTTTAATAACCATAATAAAGTGTAGTTGGTGTTATGAATCTATCTTTTCCAACAGATTATAATTCACTTGAAGGCAGAGACTGTCTCACCCTTGCTCAGTGCCTAATACTTAACAGAACACTACTGTTTCTTGCACTAGATTTTAATTTTTCTCTACTCCTCCAATGTACGTTTTTTATCTCTTAAAGTTATATGACCCAGGAGCAGTCTGTGACTACTGCTTTCACGTCTCTTCCTTAGAAGAAAAGATTAAAAATCAAGATGCTCTCCTTCCTCATTGATAGATCATGATCACCACTTCCGTTCCCTTCTAAGTCCCTTAGCATTAACATCTCCCTTATTAATAACCCATGTTTTTATTAAGAAAAATTTCAAACATTCCGCAAATGCAGGATGAACAAGTATAATGAAACCTCTCTGGTATCTATCGCTGAACTTCAAAAATTTTCAATATGATTCCAATTCGTTGAATCAATTCTATTTCCCACCACTTTTTTGGGGGGAGTGTAGCATATAAAAAATCCAAAGTATTGTATTATTTATCTATAAAAACTTCTAATGAATAGGGAGACTTTTTGTTTTAACATAACCACCATGACATTATCTAGTAAAATTAACAATTCCTTAATTCCTTTGAATAGCCTCGTCCATGTTCAAATCTGTCTCAAACATGTCTCTTTAAAAATGATTTGTTTGGTGCCGGCCGAGTGGCTCAGTTGGTTAAGAGCTTTCCCAAGGGTGCGAGCTCTGAGCAACAGGAACGCGGGTTCGATTCCCACATGGGCCAGTGATGCTGCGCCCCGTGCTGAGCTGCTGCTGAGCTGCCCACAGGTGGCAGGATGGCTCAGCTGGTGAGAGCACGTGCTCCTAACAGCAAGGTTGCCTGTTCAAGATGGTGGACTATGCTCACCCGCAACTAAGACTGAAATCAGCACCTTGAGGTGAGCTGCTGCCAGTGTGGCTCAGGGGATAGAGCCCACGCTCTTAACAACAAAGTTGCCGGTTCGACTCCCACATGGGATGGTGGCAACGCCCACCCACAACTAAGACTGAACTTGGCACCTTGAGCTGAGCAACTGCCCAGATGGCTCAGGGGATAGTGCATGCTGTTAACGAGGTTGCTGATTCGAATCCCACATGGGATGGTGGCTACGCCCACCCGCAACTAATTGAACACAGCACCTTGAGCTGAGGGGCATGACTGTACTTGGAGCTGAGCTTGCTGTGCCCTCCACAACTAAGATTGAAGGACAACAATTTGGCTCGTCCCCTTCCCCAATTCCCCAACACTGTTCCCCTCACCCAATTCCCCAATAAAATCTTAAAAAAAAAAGATTTGTTTAAATTAGGATCCAAACAAGGTCCAGTTTGCATTTCTGATAATGGTTCTTAAATTTCTTCTAATCAATAGCAGTTCCTCTCCTTGCTCCCCTTTCCTTTCATGTATTTTATTTCTTCAAAAAGCTAGATCAGTTGTATAGAGTTCCACTATTATGGATTTGGATGACTGTGTCTTCCTAGTGTTATTTAACTTCTCTAGTCCCCGCATTTTCTGTAACAGCAATTAGATGTAGAGGCTTGATTGGATACAGGTTTAAGAATACTTCATAGGTGGTTCTGTGTTCTTCCTATCACATCACATCAAGAGGGATGTAATTTCTGACATTCATGAACACCCAGTTCAGGTGTTATCAGCCTAATCCAATCATAATGAAATTTCCTTCAACTTTCACCTAGTAGTTTTATCATTTACAGATCACTGCTGTCTAGATCCATTATTTCACTAGGAGTTGCAAAATGGTGATTTTTATTCTCGTTATTTATGTAATTTTTTTTCTTCTAGAGAGAAGAACTCTTCCTCTTTATCCATTTGGAGATTCACATATGAAAGGCAGGAAAACGTTTCTTTCCTTTTTTTTTTTTTTTTTAGAATGAGTTGGTGTTTTAGCAACCTTCAAAGGGTAACCGTGAGGTTTCTTTGAGGTTCATTTTAAATTCGTGTTTTTAAAAATACATTTAATATGTTTCAATCCACTTCAGTCACTATTCTTTTGGATAGCCAAATTGTCCCACATTTAGCAGTGGGAGGCCCTTAAAGGTGGCTCTAGTAAGTTTTTGTATTGATCCTAGCAGTCTTGGATAGTTCCCTTGTTTTCTGTCATAAGAGGTTCTATATTCTTCCTATATATATTTCCTACCCAAACCAGGAATTGGCCAATTATATAAGAATCCTAATTCCTTCTGGTGGAAAATTATAGTATTTAGAGAACACAATCTGGGGATTCCCTGCTCATTGTACTGGGTTGTCACAGACTAAGCCTTTTCTATAGAGAAAGCTAAAAAAACACATTTGTTTTAGAAAGAATAAAGTTCTGATATTTCCAATTTGAATCTATGATTACTGGGTTTCATTGAATTTTTTAACTCCTTTCTTCTATGTTTAAATATGTCATAATAATATTAACATTATATACTTTATCCTACAGTTTACCTGTTAACAGTCTCCAAAAAAGCAATACTAATATTTTTATTAATAGCAACCAAAAAAAATTACTGAATACTGTTAAGATATATCACACTAAGGATGTCCAGTGAAAACACTGTTTTAAAGCTAATTGAAATAATTCTTTGTATGGTTATGTCACCAGCTTAATATATGGGTATATTCATTTATTTTAGTTTATTTCCAAGTGTTTTGGGGAAGGCTGCCCTGCCTTCTTTTAGGATTTAATTTTGTTTTATAATTATGTAAAACACTTAATGGTTCCCAAATCAAATGTAAGACAAGGCACATTCAGAGAGTCTAGTGTCCATCAACGTCCCCTCTGCCTTGTTCCCTCCCCAAAAAGGAAATCACTTGGTTAACTTTTGGTTTATTCTGCCATCGTTTCTTGTTAAAAACAAAAGCAAATACACACACATATAGTATTTATATCATTTCTTGCACAAAAGCTACTATACCATAAAAACTGTCTACACAGGTTGCTTTTTTTCACGTATCCTGGAGATGATTCTGTAACAGCATAGAGATCTTCCTCGTTCCATTTTGAAAGGGATTCATTACATGGATGTATCATGGTTTATGCAGTCAGTCTCCCGTAGTTGGACATTTGGAAAATATTTTTGTACCAAGCATTTCTATTAGAACAGGAGTCCCTTCCTTATCTAATCCCAGCCCCCATCCTCATATCTATTATAGAAAGAGAAAGACTTCTTTTCAGTGAGAAATGGTTACAGGTAGTTGACTTGCTTCTCATGACTCACCCGGATATCGGCTTCCCCTGCACTGGCAAGATTCTGACACTGTAAGTTGTAGCCTCCTTCCCAACTGGAGAGAATAAGCTGCCAAAGAAACAAGGAAGTGGGGAGGGAATCAACACAAGAATTTGGACAAAAACTAAATTTCTCATCCAGATTTCTAATTGGCATCTATTCAAGGTTTGAGCACAAACTTCCCAGAATTTGATTGATCCTGTCCTCAAACATTTATTATCAAAGGATTAATTCTTGCTAAGAACTGATATCAATAGTTATATTCCTTAATTATTATTATTTACTTCTAACCTCTTTTCTTTCTAAATTAAATCTAAAAAAACCCAGGATTCAGCTATGTTTTGAGGAACAAAATATTTTGTTAGTAATTATCTAGTCATATGTTTCTATAAGTAAAGTGTAGAATTAAATGTAAACAAATGTGAGGAAATGATACTAAATTTTTAATAATACTTTATATTGGCTTATACATATGTATCTTATTTGCTCTTGATAATTTTATGAAGTACATATTATCATTTTATTTAATTAAAATTTATTGGGTTGACAGTGGATAGTAAAATTACATAGGTTTCAAGTGTACAATTCTGTAATACATCATCTATATATCACATTGTGTGCTGACCACCCAGAGTCAGTTCTCCTTCCATCACCAAATACTTGACCTCCTTTGTCCTCTTCTACTATCCTCCCTCCCCGCTTACCCTCTAGTTCAGTAACCACTGAACAATTGTCTGTGCCTATGAGTTTTTGTTTCTTCATTTGTTTGTCTTGTTCCTTTGTTGCTTTCAGTTTTATATACCACTTATCAGTGAAGTCCTACGGTTCTCAATTTTATCTGTCTGACCTATTTTGCTTAGCATAATAATCTCAAGATCTATCCATGTTATCGCAAATGGCACTATTTCATCTTTTCTTATGGCAAGTAGTATTCCATTGTGTATATATACACCACATCTTCTTTATCCAATCATCTATTGAAGGACACTTCGGTTGTTTCCATATCTTGGCCACTGTAAAATAAAGCTGCAAAGAACATTGGAGCACATATATCTTTACAGATAAATGTTTTCAGATTTTTTTTTTTGGGTATATACCCAGGAGAGGGATTGCTGGGTCATATGGTTAATTCTATTCTTAATTTTTTGAGGAACCTCCACACTGCCTTCTATAGCGGCTGCACCAATCTGCATTCCCACCAACAGTGTATGAGGGTTCCTTTTTCTCCACAGCCTCTCCAACACTTATTGTATTGTTGATGATAGCCATTCTAACTGGTGTAAAGTGATAATCTCATTGTGATTTTTATTTGCACTTCTCTGATGATTAGTGATGTTGAGCATCTTTTCATATGTCTATTGGCCATCTGTCGGTCCTCTTAGGAGAAATGTCTGTTCAGGTCTTCTGTCCATTTTTTAATTGGATTGTTTGTTTTTTTGTTATTGAGTTGTATGAGTTCCTTATAAATGTTGGATATTAGCCCCTTATTGGAGGTGTTGTTTGCAAATATCTTTTCCCATTCGGTTGGTTGCCTCTTTATTTTGTTGATGGTTTCTTTTGCTGTGCAGAAGCTTTTTAGTTTGATATAGTCCCATTTATTTATTTTAGCTTTCACTTCCCTTGCCTTTGAGGTCAAATTAATAAAATTCTCTTTGAACCCAAGGTCCAGAAGTTTAGTACTATGTTTTCTTCTATGCAGTTTATTGTTTCAGATCTTATGTTTAGGTCTTTGATCCATTTTGAGTTAATTCTGATACATGGTGACAGATAGCAATCTAGTTTCATTCTTTTGCATGTGGCTTTCCAATTCTCCCAGCACCATTTACTGAAGAGGTTTTCTTTTCTCCATTGTATGTTTTTGGCTCCTTTGTTGAAAATTATCTGTCCATATATATGTGGGTTTATTTCTGGGTTTTCAATTCTCTCCCATTTGTCTGTGTGTCTGTTTTTCTGTCAGTACCATGCTGTTTTGATTATTGTTGCTCTGTAGTACAAGCTGGTGTCAGGGAGTGTGATACCTCCAGAATTATTCTTTTTTTGTAAGATTGTCTTGGTTATTCAGGGTCTTTTGTGATTCCATACAAATCTCATGATTTTTTGTTCTATTTCATTAAAAAAATACCATTGGAATTTTGATGGGGACTGCATTAAATTTGTATATTGCATGGGTAATATGGCCATTTTAACTATGTTTATTCTTCCAATCCATGAACACAGAATGACTTTTCATTTCTTTGTGTCTTCTTCAATTTCTTTTAAAAATGTCATAAATTTTCAGTGTATAGGTCCTTTACATCCTTGGTTAAGTTTATTTCTAGGTATTTTATTCTTTTTATTGCAATTGCAAAAGGAATTCTTTTTTAAATTTCTGAGATTTCATTGTTAGTATATAGGAATGCAATGGATTTTTGTATGTTGATTTTGTAGCAGGAAATTTTACCATATTCGTTTATTGTTTCTAGTATGTTTTTGGTGAAGTAGTTAGGGTTTTCTATATAAAGCATCATGACATCTGCATAAAGTGACAATTTAACCTCTTCATTCCCAATTCAGATACCTTTTATTTCTTTCTCTTGCCTGACTGCTCTGGCTAGGACTTGCAATACTATGTTGTAAAGCAGACGTGATAGGGGACAACACTGTCTTGTTCCTGAATGTAGAGTGAAGGGCTTCAGTTTTTCACTGTTAATTATGATATTAGCTGAGGGTTTGTCATATATGGCCTTCATTATATGAAGGTATTCTCCTTCTATACCCAGTTTATTAAATGTTTTAATCATAAATGGATGTTGTACCTTGTCATCAAATGCTTTTTCTGCATCTATTGATATAATCATATGACTTTTCTCTTTTATTTTATGTGGTGTATTACATTGATTGATTTGTGTATGTTGAACCATCCTTGTGCCCCTGGGATGAATCCCACTTGACTGTGATGTATAATCTTTTTAATGCATTGTTGTATTTGATTTTCTAGAATTTGGTTTAGGATTTTGCATCTGTATTCATCAGAGACATTGGTCTGTAATTTTCTTTGTGTTATCCTTGCCAGGTTTTGGTATCAGGGTAATGTTGGCCTCAAAAAATGAGTCAGGGAATATTGCCTCTTCTTCAGTTTTTTGGTAGTTTGAGGAAGACAGGTGTTAGATCCTTTTTGAATGTTTGGTAGAATTCACTAGTGAAGCCATCAGGTCCTGGACTTTTGCTTTTGGGAAGGTTTTGGGTGACTGATTCAATTTCCTTACTGTTGATCAGTCTATTTAGATTTTTTTCCAGTTCTTCATGATTCATTCTAGGAAGACTATGTGTTTCTAAGAATTTGTCCATTTCTTCTAGGTTATTGAATTTGGTGGAATATAGTCCTTCGTAGTATTCTTGGATGATCCTATTTCTGTGGCATCCATGGTAACTTCCCACTTTCATTTCTGATTTTCTTTGTGTTTTTTTCTCTTTTTATTTTAGTGAGTCTAGCCAAGGGTTTGTCAATTTTATTAATCTTTTCAAAGAATGCACTCCTTGTTGCATTAATTTTTTGTCTATTGTCTTCTTGCTCTTTATTTCATTTAGTTCTGTTGATTTTTATCATTTCCTTCCTTCTGCTGCCTTTGGGTTTCATTTGTTCTTTTTTCTCGTTCTTTAAGGTGTAATATGAGGTTGTTTATCTGAGGTTTTTCTTCTTTCTTGAGATAGGCCTGTAATGATATAAATTTCCCTTATTACAGCTTTAGCTGCATCCCAGTAATTTTGATAGGATGTACTTTCATTCTTATTTCTATGTCTCTTTTGATCTCTCCTCTTATTTCTTCTTTGACCCAGTCGTTCTTTAAAAGCATGTTGTTTAATCTCCACATATTTGTGTTTTTTTCCTGCTTTCTTTCTACAGTTGATATCTAATTTGAAAGCCTTGTGACTGGAGAATATGCTTGGTATGACTTCAATCTTCTTAAATTTGCTGAGGCTAGTTTTATGTCCCAATATATGGTCTATCCTTGAGCATGTTCCATGTACACTAGAAAAGAATGTATAGTCTGATGTTCTAGGGTGAAGTGCTCTATAAATGTCAATTATGTCCTTTTCTTGCTTCTGTCAGTCTGTTCATAATACCATTCATGGTTTTGTATTCTTTTGATTTTTTTGTTTCAGGTTGAATAGCCTCCTTCCGTATTTCTTGTAATGCAGGTCAAGTGTTAGAAAATTCTCTCAGCTTCTGTATGTCTGGAAAAGTCTTTATTCTGCCTTTATATATAAAGGATATCTTTGCTGAATATATTATTCTTGAATAATATCTTATTAATATATTATATTAATATTATAATATATAATATAATATAATATTAATATATTATTAATATATTATTCTATATTTCTCTCTTTCAATAGTTTGAATATTGGATTCCACTCCCTCCTGGCTTGTAGCGTTTCTGCTGAAAAACCTGATGATAATCTAATGGACTTTCCTTTGTAAGTTATCATCTTCTTTTCCCTGGCTGCCTTGAGAATTCATTAATTTTTGACAGCTTCAATACAATGTGCCTTGGAAAAGACCTGTTAGGATTGAGGTAATTAGGTGTTCTATTTGCTTCTTGGATTCAAAAATCCAGTTCTTTCCACAAATTTGGGGAGTTCTCACCGACTATTTGTTTGAATATACTCTGTTCCCTTCTCCCTTTCTTCTCCTGTTGGTATGCCCATTATTCTTTGTTTTTTATTTTTTTCATTTTTTAAAATTAGTTTCAGGTGTACAAAACAGTGCAATAATTATACTTTTTACCCCTCAAACAGTGACAACACCCCTCCCCCAATCCACCGCCTCACTCCCCGCAACCCCCACCCCGACATCATACATATCTATTACAATTCCATTGACTCCACTCCCCACACTACCATTATTCTATTTTTTTTTTAGCTGAGCTATTCTGCCACCTGTTGGCAGCTCAGCGGCAGCTCAGCTAGGGCCAGGACTTGAACCGCTATCTCTCAGAGCTCGCACTCTTGAGCAAGCTCTTAATCAACTGAGCCACTCGGCTGGTCCACTTCTTATATTGCTCTTTCTGATGGAGTCAGAAAGT